GAGACAAAAAAAAAATCAAATCCATTTCTCGCTCAGTCGGCCTCGTCATGCATCCTTAGCTCCATCTTAATTACATGTTTCATCATGTTGTTCTGTTCAGGCTCCACTAAGGCTAATATAGCAAGCCAGCAGAGCCAGCCTTAGGCACAGGCAATCCCAGGAGCTGGCTGGGCCCTTGTGCTTGCAGGAGCCCTATGGACCTGGCCCAGCCAACCTTCCCCCAGAGCCTGCTAACCACACAGCAGCTGTGCAGTGCTTCTGGCCAGCGCGGTGTGCAGGGCAGGTGGCTCAGCCCTCTTTGGCAGCGCTGCAAGCAGCCTGGGACCATCTCCTGTGCGCCGTGGGGCAGGAGCCCTCCCACTGGAGGTTACTCTGTTGTGGAGCAGCTGCTGCAGGGTGACTGTTCAGGCATGAAGCAGCAACTGCTGCAGGCACAGCACATGGTGAGAGCAGTACTGCAGGGTGGAGAGTGGGGTGAGAGCCCTGGGATGGCAACCTGCATTGGATGGGCCCTCAGGACAGGTGAGGGTCAGCAAACCTAATTTCCTTTGAAAGATGACTCCAGTGCTCCACTGCTAAATGTTGTTGGGACTCTGCATGGTATAAACCCAGTCCTGCAAACTGCATTTGAAACTAGGTGTGTTGTGAAAATTCATCCGGTGTTAAACTGGGTGTTGAACTCAGTGCTTAATTCGTGAGGAGGGAAGAAATCTGTGGTCAGCACTGGCGTAATCTAAGGCAAGGAAAAAGGAAGGACAAGGGAGAAGTAACTCCCAGTGATGAGGTGAAGAAGGTCAGAGGTTAAGGGAACCAGTCAGGAGGCCAGCACATTGCAGCTGTGCTATCTGTGGGGGGAAGCATGAGGTCAGAGCCTGGTAAAAAGTCTGGTCAGGGAACTACAGTGTCCTGGCAGACATGGAGCTGGGAGCAGGAGCAGGAGCAAGAGGAGGCAGCACTGGACATCAAAGTAAGGGCTTGGAACTGGCTGGTGCAGCTCTGTGTTATCCTACATGGCAGCAAGGCTCATCCCTGGTGTGGGAAGGGTCCTAGCACACCTTCAGCCATCGTGCTGAACATCCCTGGGAGCAAATGCCTTCCCCAATGGCTCTTCCAGGTGTCACTGTTTACTCAGTGGTCTCTGGACTTGGGTGTATACAGTGAAAACCATACAAGGTAGCAAAAACTCCTGGTAATGAGGGACCAGCTGGGAACCTACTTTGTTTTTTCTATACTGCCAGGTGTTCCTCGACCTCTCTGTCCTCCTGCAACCTTGGAGCAGCTCTACCTCACTGCACTGCCCAAACCCAAACCTGTATATCCTCTGAATTCCAGCTTAGCTGCCTGGTTAACGAGCAGCTTGGAAATTACACTCCAAGGGACTTGCTTCATCTGCTTTACACTTCAAAAAAGCTTTTTGAGCAGCAAACAGAATTCCTGCGGTGCAGGTGCAGTGAGGTTCCAGAGCACAGGAGCTTTTCCAGGTGTGAGGGAGACAGGAGGCTGCTCAGGGATGGGAAGGCATCTGTCAGCAGGGAGGAGAGGCCTGTGTGCCTCCACTGTGACAGTAGCAGGTGCTCAGTGACCAAGTAAAAGTAATTAACTGGCAAATGGTGGTTGGAGACACCAGCTTTCCAACGGGCCAACAAAGGACCAGCATTGCCAACAGCCTCCATGGGAGGAAGGTTTCTGGAGGGAGGGAGACTTTTTTCAAGGTTAAACACTAAAAGGATCCTTCTTGCTTGCAAGTGGCTTCAGACTGAAGCAGAGGAAGAGGCTGCCAGTCCTGCCAAGGGGACAGGGAGCCAGGCTGCTGGGAGCGCAGCCTGCAGGAGGAGGTCCTCACTGTGAGAATTATAAAGGCTATTGAAAATGGGGATGGAGAAATTGGATTTTTTGTGTGCACATGTGAAGAGTGGGAATGTCTATGCAGGCAAGCAGGTTTTGGGGAGTAGGAAGCAGACAGGTGAGATAATTTGACTGTTCCCAGAGGAGGATTGGAAACAGGAGAGCTGTGTGGTGCTCCATTCACTGCGACCCCCTCCTGCCTGACTGCCTGTTTATTCCAAGGCCTGTTCCCAAATGCTGCTCCTCTATCATCTGGTCCTGGTGACACCAATGTCCTCCTGGTTATGATCCTGAATGATGCTGAGTGTTTACAACTCTGGATGAAATGAGGAGGGTTCAGGTGATTGGCAGCCCCCGAATCCAGCCTCCACGTACTGCTCATCCTCCCCCTGCGTTGCAGGGCGCCTCACTCCCTTTGCAGTCTCTCCACTAATACCATCTGCCCCTCTTGCAGCCGGAGCTCCTCCCATCTTCCTGTTGCCAGAGAAACAGCCACCTTGGCAACCTGCTGTCATCCTTGAAACACACATGGAAAAGTCCTCCTGATTGTTATGTTTGATCCTTCAGGCAGATCTGGAACATCACTCAAACTGACATGCATCTCCTGTGGCATGATTACCTGGGGGACAGCGGGTGCATATGCATGTAGGGCGTGTGTGTGTTTATCTGTGTAGCTGTGTGGGACCATGGGTATGTTTGAAAGCCTGGGAGAGTAGGAAGAATTTTTTTATTATTCTTTGCTCAATCTAAGAGGAAAGGAGAGTTCTGGCTTGGAAATAAACCCCAGAAAATAAGTAGAAATTATGTTCTATGTAGGATTTCGCATTTTTGACAGCCCCTGTGCTTCAGAACCCACAGACTCTCTCCTTTTCTCACCCTTGTGTGCCCAGAATAACCATGAACAAGAGCTTGTGGCTGTTAAGCACCTAAACAGTCCTGGGTGATGCAGAGCACTGCCCCTTACCTGTGTTCCCCATGGTGCACAACATCATTTCATGTGGTAGAGGGGTCTTTATTCTGCATTCTGGGACAATTTGGAGCAAAAGGAGGCAGAGCATTGGCATTCTTCTCCACTGCCTTACACAGGGTAGGTAACATCAAAGCCTGTCTCTGTGAGCCTGAAAAAGGAAGATGATGCATCTGCACTATAGGGGTTTCAGGGGAAAAGGATTTTCTGTTTGCCCAAGTTCAGGTCAGGAACTTCAAAAATTTTGGAGACGGCAGGGGTTTCTAAAAAACATCAGGCATGAGATGGGGAATAACCCAGTGGGCAGTTAGTTGTCTTAAACCTAAGTAATTTATTTGACCTCTACTTTATTCTCTCTTCCCTGTGCAGAGCCTGGATTTGCAGCAAGTTGATGTCTATTCTATCCTCAAGGACAACACAAGCAACCCCTCCCTCAGAAAGAATCCTCCAGGGAAGGTAAGGGCTGGAGTCCTGTCCTTGGAAGGTTCCCATCTGCCCTGGGCAAATGGGGAAAGAAACCCCACAGAATAGCCATGACCTAGCAGGCAGTAAGTGTCTCTCCAGACCCACCAAAAGGGGAAAACAGGATATGGCATCCACTCCCTGGGAGGGCTGCACATGTAGCCTACCTTCCCTCTTCTAGCAGAACCCTTGCTCCTGCAGCTCTACCAGCTCTGGTGCTCAGGGCTTTGTGCAGATGATTTGCTGTATAACATACACTGAAAGGCATTAAGGGGTTTGGCATCACTGCTTCCTCTGAA